GATTAAGTCAAAAGAGCGTCAGCCGTCGTTAAATGGATGGCATAAAGAAACAGCTGGCAATAAACTATTCATGACTCGTGGACAACATGAAGACGCTTCCTTAGTCCTTGTATGCCGCCAACTCCTCATCCGTTTGACAGCGAGCAGAACTGCGATTTTGTCACGCTGAGTGGAAAGGTCACAACTTAGGGATTCACTGAGTATGCCTACGTTCGTTCCAGCTGTTTCCTTCGGGTTTTCGCGCTGGTCTTGGAAAGGATAAGCAGGACGCCCACTTTTACCGTTTTTGTTACTCAGCGAAAACATTTGCCACTGTCGACCAGCAATTCACTGTCATCAACCCATCCCAAACCAGAGAGGTGCTTGCCAAGGAAGCAGACTGCGACAAACTCATATTGCGTTTAGTCAAAATTTTGACTCAGACATAAGACCACGAACACCTTTAACAGTATCTTATATGACTTCTCTTCTCTTCTCCCTTTTCATTCATTGTTCTCTAATCATGCAAGTAGTGGTTCGTCGATTCACTGGTTCTTTCACCCATTGAATCTTTCCTTTTTCATGCCTTATTTCCTTCTTTCATTCATTCATTCATTCATACGCGCTGGACAGTTCGATCATTCATTGTCATAATATTTCTTGTTTGGTTATGAAAACGACAGTTTCAGGTGTGGTTTGTTTCATGAGTTCAGCCCTGCACCAGTCCAACAAGGCCAAGATCTGGACCTTTGTTGAACAAGACAGTAATAGGTGTTCAACATATTTAAGCTATTTATTCTCTGATTTGCCTCTTGTTAGTGTTTTGTGTGTTTGCAGGGAACGGCCCATTTTACAGTTCAGTTCTCTGGTAACCTGATCCTGCAACTTTTTCTTAGTCGAAATTGTGATATCTGTCTATGTACCCTGAGAAGGGTGTACGAATAGGCAGATGGGTTTGTTCGAAAAGTCATACCAATAGTTGTACGGATAAATCACTCCATTAGTGAATAATCCTACTGTGATAATTTCACAGAAGTATTTATGTAAAATATAGTCATTTTTTGCAACAGACCGCCGCCGCCTATCAGCGAGAATATGCGCAGTTGTGTCAGGCTATGTCTTGCAACCGCAGCGCATACCATGGCTATGTTTACGACGGCATTTGGGCGATCGCGTTGGCTCTCGAGGGCATCATCGTCAGATACAACCGGATCGGTATGCGTTTTCGTCCCAGCGGCCGATTCTTCAACCGAACACTGTCGAACAAAAGTTGGGAACGAAGTTTGATGACGTCTTTGAATCGTCTGCAATTTGAAGGTGTTACGGTAAGGTTGAGTGTGTCTCTATTCGCAGATATTTTTAATGAACGTAATTGTAGTTTTAAAGAATGTATAAAAACGGTCTATTTATATACAACGCAAGCAAACAAATCGGTCAATCGCGGCTCTGATCAGTACAAACGCTTCGGCTCGTTTGTCGCGGGCCTTCTTCAGTTTTGTCCGGGTTGGTTTCCGCAGGTGGTTCTGAGGTCCGCAGCTGTCGTGACGTTGGGAGCTAAAAGACGCGCTTTCGGCCATGCTATTGGTTACGTAGTTTTTCGATAACTGGCTTCATCAGGCTTCGTCCAATCTTTTCCCATTTCGTTCTTTTCTGCTGAACGGACGAATCAAAGAAGCCTTGATTATCCAATCGTGCGAAAATGTTAACCAATACGAACGATACGAACTGCATACAAATTGGACTTTTACCAAACCCGTTAGGGAAAAACTACTTAACCAACAGTACTGGCAAAAAGCACGCCCTTGACACGCCCGAAAAGCGTCAGAATAGCTGTGAACCACAGAACTGACTGCGGAAATGAACCTCCACCACCTCCGTCAGAGACGAGGCGAAAAATCATTCAGTCAAATTTACTTCGGTGGACAACCATCCTTAGGGCATAAGACAAATTCCTAGTACCTAGATATAATAATGAGCAAACACAGCAATGAAACAAAAACGGGGTTATGAAAATGTGAATCCCCATCAGGTCGATCAGAGTTTGGTCTAAAATAACTGTTGCTTGTTCCTGGAGTCGATCAGACAGCGTGCGCGAACGGAACGACTGATCTTTGGTGGGCCTCAGTGCGGCGTCTGCAAAGAGCCTCAAAGTTTGTGTTTGGCCACTTCGAAAAGTGCTGTTGAAATACTGATAAAGTGGGGTG